AAGAGTGTATGGCTGGTTGGTGCTAAATGGAGTAATGTGGTTTGGGGAGAGTCAAGGCTTCGCAGAGGAGGGGGTTTGAGGACAACCCCAAGAGGCTTCATGGACAGTAAGCTCCTTGAGGGTAAGGGTTCTGTCCCCAGCTTTATGTATATACACAGTGCCTGTTACCTTGTAGGCCCTCAGTAAGGATTTGTTGAAGGAAGGAGAGAAGGAAGGAGGGGCAGAGGGAGGTGAGGAGAGAAGTGGAAGGAGAGGAGTGAGGGAAGGAAGGAGGGAAAGAATGTAGGACCAGAATAAACGTGGGAGATGGTGAGGGCATTTTAGAGGTGCCATGCAGACCCAGTGCCAATATCTGGGGACAGTGATGGACAGCTCCAGGCTCTGAATAGGAGGGTGAGGTGAGGGCAGGGGAGATGGTGACTTTATTCTCTGGCCTGGGGAATCCTGAAGGTGAAGGGTACATGGGAGGGTGGAGGGGCTAGTTTGGAGCCTGCTGATGTAGGAAGACCAGAGTGTGAGGTGGCCCTCCAGTTTGTGGGTGAGAACAGAGCAGGGCTGGGTGCAGAGCCAGTCTGGGAAGTCCTGTCCTGAGCCCAGTGCTGTACTGTTTTGGCAGGTGTGGGAACACCCCTATAAGGGGTGGGGACTCGAGCTTTCTGTTTAGGTCTCCAGATGGCTAGCATGTCCCTCACTGCCTCCCCTTTTGTAGGCTCCACCATCCTGGCAGAGCGGGGCATCCCATCACTCCCCTGCTCCCCTGCCTCCACACCAACCTCACCCAGTGCCCTGGGCAGCCGCCTCTCTGACCCTTTGCTCAGCACGTGCAGCTCTGGACCTCTGGGTAGCTCTGCCAGCGGTAAGTACACCGGTCCCTCCAATCCCTGGTGACTGTGTTGGACCTTCCACCCCCAGACTCCATGGCTGAGGCAAGAGTGCAGCCTCTGTGTCAGGGCTGGGACTAGAGAGGAGCCAGGCTCAGTGATCCTTGTGGAGTGGCAATTTCTGGGGTGTGTCCCCTCCTGTCCCCAAGCTAGGCAGCTTTCTCCAAAGAGCTTTTTTTTTTTAAAAAACACACAGGGAATGCCAAAGGGTAGCTCTGGAGGGACCTGCCTTAAAAGACTTAGGGTGTCTTTCCTTCTTCCCTCCATCCCTTCTTCCTTCTTTTCCTCTCACTGCCTCATGGCCACCCTTGCCCTGGTCTGGGGGCTGAGTGCGCTTGGAATGGGGCTGCTGTCCCTTGTGCCCCAGAAGTGGGGTCGTCAGGGTAAACAGGAAGATCCCAATAAATGGAGGGGAACACAAGGGGCCGGGGGGCTCTCTTCCCATGAACCCAGTGCTAGTCTGGGCCATATCTCTTCCTGACTGGTGCCCTCTTGCCCCCAGGGACGGCCCCCAACTCACCGGTGAGCCTGCCTGAATCACCAGTGACCCCAGGTGTGGGCCAGTGGAGTGATGAGTGTACCATTTGCTACGAGCACGCAGTGGACACGGTCATCTACACGTGTGGTCACATGTGCCTCTGCTATGCCTGTGGTCTGCGCCTCAAGAAGGCCCTGCACGCCTGCTGCCCCATCTGCCGCCGCCCCATCAAGGACATCATCAAGACCTACCGCAGCTCCTAGCCCGCGGGCCCCACCCCGCACACCCACCTTCTGAGACCGCAGCCCAGCTCCAGCCAAGCCAACAGGGCCCCTTCTCTTCCTCATTTTGGGAACTCTTTTGCCTTCTCCATTAAACCTGGGAAACTGAGGCCCTGAAGGTTTGGGGGGAGAGGGGATATCAGGCAGGGAGGCGGGGGCAGACGCACATCTCCTGGCAGAGGGGAGGGGAGGAGGCTGCACTCCTATCTTTCTCTTCTCTGTCTCAGCTCTTCCCCGCATGCTGAGAGGCTAAATGGGGTCTCAGCCTGTCCTAATCCATCCCCACCTGGGGCAGATTTCTAGAAGGTCCCTCAAGCCCATGTGGCACCTTTGTGAGAATTAAAAAATATGTACCTTCCCGTGGGCAGCTGCGGCCCAGCGCCAGGGCATGGGGCTTGGCTAGGGGAGTGTGGACTTGATCTCAGCCGCCGTTGCTCCCTCAGCCATCTGCCCCTGAGCAGTGCACAGCCTGCTCCACAGCAGCCTTGGGCGGGCAGCCCCTGAGCTGCTGTCTCACTCTCTGCCCCGTGCCCACCTTGTCTTTCTTCCCTGCCCACTGGGCCTAGCAGCTGGGCAAAGAGGTGGTAGATGCCTCTCCTCCTGGGTAGGCTGCAGCCCCTATGCCATGTCTCTCTCCTGCTCCCCCAGGATGAGTGGATGGACGGGCTGCCGAGGGCTCCAGGTTCTGGGTCCCTAGCCCTCTGCCCTGGTTGAGATGGGGAGGAGCCCTTCCTGGCCATAGTCTTTCTGCCCCAGTCATCTTGTTGGATGTTGTTGCCCAGGGTTGCCCTTTGGAATGGACTGGGGAGTGGGGTCTGTCTGTTGTCAGGTCTCTAAGGACAGGTTTACAGCTACTGTCCCTGATCTGTCCTCCCACATCTCAGTGCTGTCCTGGGCCCAGGCTGATTCTCAGAGGCTTTAGCATGCCCAGGAGGGACGAGGGCCCTGGATTGGGGTGGGCAGGTTTCCTGGGCTAAGGTCAGCCTTTTTCCTTATTTTAAGTTATTTATTTATTTGGTTTGTGGGTTTTGGGTTTTTCTGTTTGTTTGTTTATGGTGTGAGTTCTCATTCCCTGCATCCCTAGAAATGCTGCCCTGGTATGTGGGGTGTCTGAGGAGAGGGGGCTGCAGAGATAATCATCACTCAAAGTCTCCCCTAGACTCCAGCCACGAAGCTCATAGCCAGCCCTGCTAACCATGAATTGGAAGTCCGTAAAAAGGGGCCAAATTGGGAGGCCACCTAGCAAATTGTGCCCATTTTACAGAGAGGCAAACTGAGCCTCTTTAGTGCCCTGGGGCTGGTAGATCACCCAGCACCACAAAGTGCCCTTCCACCCTGAGTTCCCTGCTCCCTAAGGACATAAAAATTTCTAGAAAGGCTGAGGGAGAGGCACCCCGCATGGGCCTGGGAACAGGACTGGGGGAACCTTGTCCTAATAGGGCAGGGAGCCTGTTCTTAGGAAAGGCTTGCCACCCCTGGGAAAGATGGGAAGGGGCGGCTCCCAGCACTTGGTTCTTATTCTGGGTTCTGGGGAGGGAGTACCCACACCTGCTTTTGGGTTACAGTCATCTCAGCCCTGCTCACCTTGTCCTGGGCCGGGGCCAGGTCCGAGTCTTGGCCTAGGCTCCCCCAGCCTCCCAGCCCTCCGCTTTTTTGCACCCACCAGAGACTACTTCTCCCTGTGACAGGCGGGGCATGGGGCTCCAGTCCTGGCCCTGGCCAGTCAGAGTCCCTCTGAACCTCTGCTTCCACCTCTGTAAAATGGCTGTTTGGGGGAGGGGGCAGCCTTGCTGCATGACTCTTGGGAGTTCATTGGTGAGGGGCTGCTGTGGGGTGTGTGATGGGGAAGCACTGGGAACAGGACTCCAGGCTGGCCTTTGGGGAAGTCACCATTCCACTGCAGGTCTCTAGTCCCCAGCCACTGACCCTGGGAGACCCTTTCAGTGGGAGTGGTCAGGGGCTCCATCCCAGAGGCAGGAAAGGCCTCAAGTACAGGAGCTGCATGGCCTGAGGGGCGGGGAGAGGAAGCCATCAGTCGTATTTATCTCTGTTAGTGCAGGGGTAGCTGCTGCCTCCTTTGTGAACTTGGGTCGCTGTGATTGTGAATAAAGGTGATTTCATACCAGCCTGAGGGCTGTGCTAGCATAGCATGCATGTGTGTGTGCATGGGGTGGGGGAGGGCCAGGCATCCTGGATACAGGGGGGAGTCAAGAGTGTGGCCCCAGCCTCTGGGGATCATTGGAGGCCTTTGAGGCCCCAAGGTTGGCTGGGACAATCAAGGAAGTCTCCCTGGAGTGGAGGGCTGTAAAGTGACCTGGGGCTAGAACAGCAGGGGCTAGAATGTTAGGGGAGCTGTGTAAGTTGGAAGGGAGAAGCCAGCCGCCTTTCTGGTGGCCTCAGGTCCCTGGTCTGAGAGGAGCAGGGTGTGGTGGGGCAGAACCACTGGGAGTGCATGAGGATGCTCAGCTTCCTCTTAAGGGTGAGCAGGCCCAATGTGGTTGAGACCCTTGCAGAGCAGGCAGTGCCACCTAGGGGCCAGTGGGGGGATGACACAGGTCCCCCTCACAGGTCACGAGGGGCTGGCTGAGCTCCCCAGGAACAGGGCCTCCCCATCCCTCTCCCCAGGATCAGACCCTGACCTGTGGCTGGCACGGAACTGTGTTTCCACTTGTGGCTGCAGAGGCCAATATCAGATGGGTGGCGCAGCTGGCAAGAAAAGGGAGGCCTCTGAACAGAGACCTTTAGAGAAACCTAGATGTGTTGAGTACATCTGGGTGGCAGGAAAAGCTGGGCTTGGGGTGGTGTGGTATGGGAGGAGGCAGCCAAATTGGCCCCGAGGTCCAGGCACAGCATTGTAATTGTTCTCATTTGGCAGGGTTAGGCCTCGGGGGCACCTGGGATGCCTGCCTCCCCACTCTCTCCTGGGAGGATGCTGTTGACCCGGCCTCTGTCTGGCCTTGAACAGCCATGGGCTGTTCCCCACACCAGACCCACCCTGCTCTGCTTGCTGGAGTCCAAGCAAAAGTAGGTGAGGGGCGGGGGGTGGGGGTGTCCATGCTGAGGGTCCAGCTAGGCCTGCTGGATGTGGGCCAAGATCTGCACCTGTCAAAGCCTTGGTCACTGCCCCAAAAGTCTCCTGAAGGTGGGGAAGGACCTGGAGGAGCCTGAGCACCATTCTCACCAACAATAATGGGCTCCCCAACCCAGTGTCCTCTGAGAGATCCCTGAGATCCTGGAGTCCATGCTGCATTTGGGATAATGGGACTTTTGCTGTTCTGCTGGATGACTTTTCTGGTGACAGAATTAAGAGGTGATTCTGTTCAGTTAAAAAGGCCAAAAACTTTATTTAGTTTCAGAGAAATACAAGATGCATGTAAACATAAACAAAATACGTAACAAAACAACCCAAATCTTACAGTCTAGAAGCATGCCAAGACAGAATAATTTCTGCAGACCAAAGAGTCCAATTAAAATGATAAAAGACACCTGGAAAGTGGCAGGCCAAGGGGCTGGGTCCCTTCCCCAAAGACACTGCATTTTTGTGATAAGATTTCAAAAACACCCACTATTAAAAATATTAGAGACATGGAGATAGTTTAGCACCACCATTGATCCTCGAAATATTTTAGCAACTCAAACTGACTGAACTGAATTTAATGTCCTTTTCTCCAGTTTCTCTGCTGAGGTGGGAAGAGGGAAAAACCCAGAGGAAGGGCTCCTCCTGATCCCACAGAGCCCACTAAGTGGAAGGGCTTGAGTGGACCTCATGAGTAATCCCCCAGAGTTCTGGAGCCCCACAGACGTCCACCAGTCCACATCCAACCAGGCGGTCCACATCCAACCAGGCAGTCCACATACCCATGTGTTGGGGACCTGTCACTCAATGTCTACCCTGCTCAGAAGTCACTTTGCTGCAGATCTCTCAGTACCTGGCAGGGAAACCCATTTTCCATACCGTGTCCTGGATTTAAAGAAAACCTGTTGCAGAAAACAAGTTTAAATTCAAGAATGGTGGTTGCTTACCCTTCTTTCTCTGAAATAAACTCTTCTGAGCAGTGTGCCTTGGTTGTAAGCCACTAAAAAGCAGAAGGGCATAACCATGGGTGTGTGTGCATTTCCCTGGTTCTCATTCACACCAGGGAGGGAGGCAGACTCAGCAAGCTGAGGCACTCAGGTGTCGTCAGAGATATTTAAGAATAACATCAAAGGAAAGGCAACCAAAGCTGTCTTCCTCCCAGATATGCCAGGTGGAGTCTGGACCCTGAGCCCCCAGTCTGGGGATCATGGGTCCCTATTGCATGACCTGTCATGGTTACTGGTCTCTAATTGATCCATACAGCTTTAGATGCTGGGTCTGGATTGGGCATAGGGAAGTGGGGAAAATCAGCTGGGAACCTGGGAGAAGGATGTATGTAGTCTGGAAGCAGGGTCTCCAAACTCAGATTGCTTTGTTTCTGGCAACTTCCCCTCCCCAGAACCATTCACTGAGACCTGCTGGGGACCCAGCTTATGACCCAGTGAGTAGAATTTTTCTCTGGCCAGTTTCTTCTATCGCCAAATTTGGAGGATTTTTTAACTGCTCTAGCTGGACCCTTGAGTGCTGAATCACTAAATTCCCTCCTACCTGCTCTCTTCTGGAAACACTCAGAATTGACTTCTTCTTTCTCATCAAGAAAGACAAAACTCCAAACCCTCTTTCAGCCTTCTAACACCTTTTCTGCCTAGAAGACACCTTCTTTTGGAAGCCTCCTTCCCAGTGAAGGGATGGTAGCCCCAGCCACTCCATACATGCACGCAGCATCTCACTGACATTCCTCTCACTTGCCTCCAACATGCTTGATCCATCCTTATGCTCTAGAACAATTCTTTCTCTCTCACACACACACCTCTTGAGGTCCAGCCCTCGGCCAGTATGGAACTGGGAGCAAGGCAGGGGACCTGCAGTGCAGGGGACCCCAATCTCTAAGGCCACTCAATTCTAGGACTGGGATGGGAGAGGGGGCTGATTGTCAAGGTCAAGTGCAAACTTGAGATTTAAAAATATAGGATGGGGGAAGGGGGATCACATGCTAATCCCAACCTTATAGGTTGTGATCAAGGTCTTGCAAGGTAGAGCCCACCACCCAGTCTATAAGCACCAATGTGCCCACCTTGTGGCCTGGAGTCCTGGGTGCACAGGACAAAGCAGGAGGGATGTTAAAATCAGTTGGGCTGTTTCTCCCCAAGGCTGTAGGTCACTGACCCTGTCCTCTCACTGGTTCTGATCACAGAGCTCAGGAACCAGAGACATGAGACTGCCCTAAACAAAGATGATGATTTAGCCATAAAACTCAGTAAGGTCCAGGGGAGCTCTCTAACCATTCAGTCAGGCCCTGCAGTCGAGATTAGAGGAGCAGATGCACACGCACCTGCCTGTTAGCTAAGCAGTCCTCACCTGACCAGCCTGGCCCACCCTCAGAAACAAGCACCCAGGGGCCAGCAGCTCTTCTGTCACATGGGGATTTTCATACTGATGGCATGGATGAGAAGGGGTGGGCGTCAGTCTGCCCCACAACACACCTGCAGGTGGGTGGCCTGATTCAACCGACTCAGCGCTTCCACACCCAGCAGCATCTCTTTTCCACGCCTTCAATTTGGAGCCTGGGACAATGGCCTAGGCTGCTTCTGCTAGAACTGTTAATGCCAGTGTGAAGTTTCCAACTAACTACATAATAAAATATTAAAAAAAAAAAATTAAAGACACATTGCACTCTCCAGCCAGAATTATGTGTGACTAACACACACTCGCTGCCAGAAGCTGCGAGTCCCTTGGGACCTGCCCAATGCCAAGGACTTGTTCAATGGAGACAGCCTGCCCAGTACTTCTGTAACCCCATGTTGTTTAGTTCAAGTGGGAAATTACCAACACGCACACACCCACACACACGCACACATACATGCTTTGTCAACACACGGCCCTCAAAAAAGTGAGGGAATCTTAACTTTAGCAATGTGGACGGTTCTCTTTCCAGAGAGCTCTGCATCAAGATTCTCGAAGACTGAATACGTAGATTTATATAGTCCAAGGGGGAGACCCACGCAGGGTGCAATCCCACTGCGGGCATGGAGATCCATATCTGTACAGAATTCACCAAATAGGGGGTTGGAGCAGCAAGTGTACAGTACTGGAGGTGGAGGGGATAAGCCAGCAAGGATGCCCCTGTCGCCCTGAGGTGTAGAGCTGCAAGGGCTTGGACCCAGGGACTTCTCATCCTGCTGCTCTCTCTACCAGCGCCAAGGAAGGAGGAAGCTGGCTCGGTACCTATCGTGGGAAGTTTTATCTGCAGAGAGACCTGAGTAGACTCAGATTCTTCTCGGAGAAGAATTCTGCAGCCTGTCCGGGTGTGGAGCAGAGGCAGGGCTTACTCCTTAGGTGGAAATCATTGAGATGAATGGCGGGCCCAGGCTCTGCCCCAGGGATGTCTGATGCAGGCTACGGGAATTGGTATCTCAAGGGGGTGTGTAAGGTTCAAGGCACCTGCACCCCCCCAAAAAGATGGGGTTACATCTAGGGTTCCTGCTCACAAACTGAACTGAGGTTATACAGTTTTAGAAAGGTTCAAACATACATCAAAAGGATCATGGTCCAAACATCAGGAGGCTGGGGTGAGAGAGGGCTGTTGGGAATAATTTTTAGGACAGGTCTCTCTGAGCAGCTGGCTGCAAAACAGAAATGAAAACAAGGAATGGTTCCTGGATGTCCTCACTCTGCTCCAGGGACTGGGGCCCCAGGAGGCCAAGAGCCCCGTGCCACTTCCCTGAATCCCTTTCTCTGGTGGGCAACACCCAGTAGAAAAAGGGGCTGTCCACTGGTGGGGACCCCTACCATCTTGCCAGGGACTGGGGAGAGGGCTGAAAGATCAAACCCCGCCAACCCACCCATCTGATCCACAATCACAATTCCTTCCAGGGCCCCACCTCCTGCTCTCTGCAGACTGGCCACTGGCTCTCCCTCAGCTGTTCCCAACAAGCCCTGGCATCCCTCTTGCTAATATTGCACGTTTCCTGTCTCTCAGATTGTTTTCATTTTCAATTGAGAATGCAAAGTATTGTGAGGAGAGAGGGGACAGGGGAGGTGAGTAACCTTAAAGAAATAATATATTAGTTA